AAAAATCCCCATTAATTTTTGCTAGTGCTAGACACTTGTGGCGTTCAAAGAGCTTAACATGAGCCCCCCCGTACTTGACGCCTTGGCAAACAGAGACCAGGTATCCTATATACTGCGCCAGATCACGAATTTTGCATTGAGACTTAGACCGGAGAGTTTTACTCCAAATCTTTATTTTTTTCCCTCTTTTCTGCAGGTAAAGAAATTTTCAATAGTTCTGAGTCTAATAAAAACCCCAGAAATCTAATGGTTTGACTGGGGTTCAAATGACTTTTCTTAACGTTTATAGAAAACCCTAAAGACTTCAAAAAATTTACGGTTACCTTAGTGTCATGTAAGGAGCCTTCATACGAAGAATTGAATAACAGAAAGTCATCCAGATAACACACACAAATAATGTTTTTAGATCGAAGCCATTGTGTAACAGGTCTCATTAGTTTTGTGAACACATAAGGGGCTGAAGCCAACCCAAAAGGCAAACATGCAAATTCATACAGATCGTGATTAAATTGAAACCTCAAGAACTTTCTAAATTTTGGGTCAATGGCTATATGGAAGTAGGCATCTTTAATATCAATAGTTGTGAACCAACACCCTTTTTTGACAAGCCTTAAGGCCGTTCGAATGTCTTCCATTTTAAAATGAGATGTTTGTAAAAAGGAATTAAGATGTTTTAAATTAAGTATGAATCGTTTACCGCCATCAGATTTATCAGCCAAAAAGATATTAGAAATAAAATGCCCTGGACAAGGACTGCACTTGCTTATCGCATTTAAATTGAGTAAAGACTTAATTGCCTCATGCATAGCAGTGTCTTTAGTCGTCCAGGTCTTTGTTGGGGGTACTTGCTCTAGACTAGGTGAACTACAAAATGGCAAGGCATAGCCTTTAATCCATTTCAGTATTACGGGATTTGAAGTAATCAACACCATTTGTCATAGAAAAGTGAGAGCCTACCACCAATTGGGCTTACCTGCTCTATCGTCTGTATTTCCCCTGCTTCTGATGGGACTGCTGGCCTCGGAATGATCTCGACTGTCCCTTTTGACGAGTCGGGCCGTAACGGTTTAAAGAACGCTGGTCTTTCGCTGATGTGAACACAGGCTTCAAACGAATTCGCCCAGAGTTCCTACCACCTCTGTATGAAGCTGAGAATTGCAAAGGAGTAGCCGCCTTTAATTCCTTTCCTGCGTTCTGTAGAGACTTAGCTTCCCTGACGCTCTCTGAAACATCTGATCCAAAAAGGAAATCTCCTGGTTTAGTTCTCCCTAGAACCTCCCTAATGTTTTTGTTAAGGGTTGGTAAAATCAAATTACGCCTAGAGTCAGAGATGTCGTGAAAGGTGTGCGCCAGTAAACGACTAGCATCACCCAAAGGGGCTACAATTTCATCACGTAACTTTTTTGGAATAGGATTGTCATTCAGCAAAGCTGTCAAAGACTTTCCCATAGCTCCCAAAACAGTTGCGAGTTTCGTTTGGATACTTTTATTAAAATTGTCCCGAGCCACCCGATCGTTGGCCAAAATTGCTAAAACTTCGGGATTTAGCTTAGGTGAGTTAAGTGTCGGACAGTTCTCCGGGACTGCATAACGTTGAGTTAAGGAAAGTAAATTTTCCTGCGAAAGGCCATTTGTTACAATGTAGTTCCACCTTGAGGAAAGTGCCTCATGTAAACAGTCCGCCTTAACTGGAGTACTAGGGCAATCATTTCCTAAAACGTCTCCAAAATCATCAAGGGCTAAAGAGCCGTCGTCGATGATGAGTACATTTTCTTCCAATTCGGTCTCAGGGCCGTTAGTCGAGTTCAAAGGAGCTCTAGGCTTTGGTCTACCATCCGCTCCGTGTAGGTCCTCAGCCTCACAGTGAGGAGAAAGACTTAAAGAAGTCTGGGATTTGTCACCTGCCCTTAAAGAAGGAGCAGGCGAAAGGCTTAACGAAGCCTCAGCAGACAAAGAACGTCTTCGTCTAAGATGCCTACTTGTTGATGGAACATCAGCAATGCTTAAGCTTTCAACGCTGCTGTAACTGCAATCAGAGCAGTCGCGTTTAGACCGGGAATCCGATCTTCTATTAATAGCAGGAAAAGGAGGCCGAGACTGCCTGTCATGGCCGCCGTCCACATTTTCCTTATCCTCTAAAAGTCTCTCAAGCCTACGAAGGCGTTTTCGTAGGTCGCTTTTTGACGTCCCCCTGCTCCTAGAGCGATGCCGCTTGTTGGACTTGCCCATGTGTAGTAAAAAATTACATACGGGCGAAAAAGGCCTAAAAATAATACCTATGGTTAATAAAAACCGCTAAAATAAAATCATTTAGTTATACTCAGATACCAAAATCGTCGAAACACGCAAGACAACGATGTGAATGTGAACACGAGCACGAGAAAGCGAAGAATGAATCACCTGACGCCTGGCGCGAGGAACGAAACGCAAGGTTAACTCAGTGGCGGCTCGGCGGCAGGGGCGAACTTCTATTTTTGTTTCCTTTTTGTGAAACCTTTCTTTAAATACTCGTGATATGAGTTCGAGCAAGCGAACTACATGGTATTCTATACAATGTCTTCGGATTGGATGTCGAAACTCATATTACGAGAGCTGTTTTCCAAAAAATGAAACGTTGCGATTCATTAAATAAACCACAGGGAGAAAGAATAGCTGAATAAGACTCAATAGCATGTCGCTCTTGGAGAAGATAAGGAAACGATTGAAGAACCTCTCACTTGCTGGTATTATTGAGTCGTACTTCTGCAGAAGCTGTCGATGGCGACCTGGTGAACACGCAATTAGAAATTGGCATGTCTCGATCATTCTTACCCCACGTTATCGGATTCTGATTGCTGCTCACGCAATTAAAAATACGAACTTCGGGGTTTTCCACTTTCCTGCAAATGACGTGTATTCGAAATTATGAAATATGGATAACAGATAATCACCAGGTTGTTCCCATCAACCATCCGGCCGCAAGTGATTTACGACATAATCCACGGGGACCATGTCGACTACGTCCTTAGAGCTACACTTTGTGGTATGCCATAATCCCAAGCTGACTGATGAGCAATACGCGAAAAACCAGTCGGGCGAATTTGACCAATCGCCGTTCGGTTCTGAGCACGGAGGTAAAACTGCAAACGTATAATGCGAGCTGCATTGATTTACAAACTAAAGGGTTACCTAACGAGGGACGAACGATTGCTATTGGTAGATTTCTGCCCTTTCTTCGAAGTATGTCTTCCGCCACATTCTTAGAGAAGCTGTAGGTGTTGGGCCATTCCCCTAAAATTCTGCCGAAAGATTGCCGTGATTGATCCAGTACGTGCTTACTGAGGCGTAATTTTGCGTAATCCACTGTCATCGGTGTGATCTACCATTTCTATCAGCTGATCACTGTCCACAAAACTGGGGGAGAGTGTCTCATTCATGTTGGCGACTTGCGAGAAAGCAGTTGACACGTAGACCACTGACTAAGGCACTAAAACTTGCATTTGTTCAAGGCCAACAAAGGCTCACCTTTAAATTTTGCATTAATCGGCAGATACCAATAAGGCTATCAACTCCTTTAACATTTATAAGAACAGCATTTCGAAGCTTGTCCGTAAACTTCACCGTCGCCGCTACGTGAAAAATGCAGTTCACCTCACTCACAACCTTTCCCAAATCATCCTCGTCCAAACCGAGCTTCTCCAATTGCAGGTCGCCTTTTAAAACCTCGAGTTTGAGTAAAAGTTGAGGATCGCTCTTCTTCAGTCCATTGTAGACCTGTAAGTTGAGCATTAAAGTCTTACCAATCGACTGTGGGAAACTACCGGATTCGTCAGGAGGTCGACCAGTCGATCGGCGCCATTTTTTGTTCCTTTGCCTCGAATAAGCAGGTAGACCTTCTTTACCTTGGGACACGATCTGAGCAATTTTTCGATGAGGTAGTTGCCCACAAGTCCGGTCGCTCCAGTAATCAAAATGGTCGAGTCTGCGTAAAAGCTTTGGATTTGGGTGGCCATGCTTGGACGTGTGGTTTAATAGTATCAATTGCGTATGTGAATTAGCCTTGTTGCTGAATGCAAAGTGCTTGAATTTTAATGGGTACACTATGAATAGCTTTAGTATCTTACCGTCACCTTGATGAGAAATTGGTTTTCATTTCCTGTATATACCTAAGTTTGCCTTGAGCACCATGTCACAGTAACTTGATAAGCGCACGCACGATTTCCATCGTCTATTTTGAAATTGAAGTCTGGACATTGATACCTATGCTAACTAAAAGAGTGTTCCCTACATCAGCCTAGATTTTAACCTCCATTACCACACCTATACCATTTTACAGACAATCACGCTCACTTTGGAATTAATCTACAAAACATGTCTCTTTTATTAGTGTGGTCATTGTTTTAAACAATGGTGTAGCGTTGGCGCACGCGTTCAAGGGTTTCTAGATCCAATCAAAACAAAACAATGGAGATTTCCTCAGGTGCGTGAAGTTAGCACGATAATGGAAGCACAAACGAAATGTATTGTTCCAATCGTTTGTGCTGGATTGTGCACGAAAAAGTAACCCAACACGTCCACCCCTTTTTGAGGTACAGGGTCTCGTTTCCGTGTCAACTTCATTCCACTGTCCCTACTAACGGAATGTTTTGTAACAAATCGTTACTGCTTGGGTGATGCACGGACCATGTGGCGAAAAAATAGGCGAGCTTCTTGCAAGGATCACGATAAGGGACAGTGGCTTTGTACAAAATATTTTGTTCCGAACCCACCTTACTTTAATCTGATCCGCTCGCTTAAATCCCAAAATTTCGCATTGGGTTTCCCTGCTATTAACGGCTATTCTTAAAGCGTGTTTCGGAAATGAAAGTGAGTCCACTACGACCCAACGTCAGCAATCCCTGATACAATTCCACAAGTTCCCAATAAAGCGCGATGCAGTTTTCTAAAGGTTGACCGGGTCAAGGGGTAGTTTTAGACACTGTATGATTAAGGTAAAGTATATTTGTATTCAGTTCAGATCGTGCTCGGCTTTAATTATTTAAGTTACTCCCGCACCAATGTCAATAAAAGATATAAATCTAACATTTTAATGCTCCTTCCTGGTATTCTTTATTCATTGCGAAACTCGTTTAAAAATGCTTGTGCTTTGCGCTAATCCAAGCGAGTTGGAAGAATTGCGTCGGTCCCGTATCGGTTTTTCTGGTGGGCAAAATACTGGTTGAAATGCTCTGCGGACACTATCCAAGCCCTGTGGATGGAGGCGAACCGTCCTGTTGCACCTACAAACAATTTAAATGAAAAGCACAAATTAGCACAAAATGAGCACAAAATTATAGTAAAAGAAAATTTGGAAAGTATCGATGTTCACACTCCAGCGTGAAGTTGTAGTGTCATCAGAGAAAGTTGAATTACTCATTAACCTGATGAGCACAAAATTTTAAATTAGCAGCTAAATTAGAACAAAATGAGCACAAAATTACGGCAAAAGAAAATTTTGAAAATAATGTTGACACTCCGGCGTGAAGTTAGAGTGTAATCAGAAAAATTGAATTACTCATTAACTTGATGAGCACAAAATATTAAATTAGCGGCACAAATTAGCACAAAATGAGCACAAAATTATAGTAAAGGAAAATTTGGAAAGTATCGATGTTCACACTCCAGCGTGAAGTTGGAGTGTCATTAGAAAAAGTTGAATTACTCATTATCCTGTTGAGAACAAAATTTTAAATTAGCAGCACAAATTAGCACAAAATTAGGACAAAATTAGAGTAAAAGAAAATTTTGGAAATATCGATGTTGACACTCCAGCGTGATGTTGGAGTGTCATCAGAAAAAATGAATTACTCATTAACCTGATGAGCACAACATTTTAAATTTACACAAAATGAGCACAAAATTATAGTAAAAGAAAATTTTGAAACTATCGATGTTGGCACTCAAGCGTGAAGTTGGAGTGTCATCAGAAAAGGTTGAAATTCGCATTAATCTGATGAGCACAAAATTTTATATTAGCAGCACAAATTAGCACAAAATTATGAGATACTTGGAACTGAATTCCTTTCAAGTCGGGACTCCTACTTCACGGACCCGCGTTTAAAATCACTTTTTTGGGGATCAAGTCTCAAGAGAATGAAGAATGATGAATCTTTTATACAGTTTGCTATCATTCAAAACATTTTTCTATGTGCTTCTGATACTTGTACAGATTTCAAGTGCGCTTCCTAGCACCACAATACTTCTCTATGTTTCCTTTTTAATATTTTTCTAAAAATGTACCGCTTTTCTGGTAACCTAGTATCAGGGAACTATAAAATATAAGAACCACATTATCACTCTTTGCTCTGTTTCAATGTTTTTTTAACCAAAAAACGAAAAAAAATAAATGCGCTTAGTACCGCCTTTCTGTGTGCTAAAAAATGTTTTTGGTAGTATTTGCAACCGCCTCCTCTGCTCCTTAGGATCCCCCAACTACCTATTTCTGTTACTTTCCAATATTTTTTAGAAGCGTTAGCAAAAAATTAATTAAATTTCATTTTTTTGCACCCCTTCTTAGGGATTATTTATCAGGAGATTATAAAATAATAAATCCCTTGTAACGTTTGCGATCATCAAATTTCTTTGTTTCTACACTATTGATAATTTTATAAAATTATAGTGTGGTGAATACCTTAATCCCCTTTCTCTGTGCCCAATACGGCCATCCTGAGAATGGAGTATCAGGAGGGAGTAAATGTAAATTCCCCAATTCCATGTAACGCTTTGGATAATCCAATTTGTAAGTGTTAAGTATCGAAAAATTTTAAGAATCTAAGTTCTTAATGCATTTGCAATCACCCAATATCTTAATTTCTGTACTCCTGATAATTTTGCATAGTGTCCCTAATGAACAATAAATCAAATTTTCTTATCTGTGCGCCCAATGCCACTTTCCTGGCGATTCAGTATCAGAAGGACATAAAATAGAGGCTCCTAAATAGTTTGCAACATTTGGGAACCTCCAGTATCGTAATTTTGATTTATGTGCGCCTAATACCACCTTAATCAAGGTGAGTTTCTTAGAATCACACTACGATTCTGTGTGCTTTTTCAATATCTCCTAAAAGCGTAAATGAAAACATAAAATTACGTATCTGTGCTCCTGGTACCGAATTTAGAAGTATTAAGTATAAGGAAAAATAAAAGCAAAGTTTCTCGTGACGTTTGCTATCATACACTATTCACATGCTTTCTCCCCGCAGAAGAGTACTCAGCACTCTGATGGTAGCCTTTGAGAAAAGGTATCTCTGTATAGTGGAGGGTACGTATGGAGAGCTCTTATACTCTGTATACTCTTTTTTATGCTTCTTTTATCTACTTCACCTTCCTGTGCTTCTCTCTTCTGTTCCTTTCCTCTGCATCACGTTAATGTTTCTCTGTTCCACCTTCGTATGCTTTTCTTCCTTTTGCACTTCTTTCGCTGATTCCTTTTCTTCTTCATTATACTTTTTCGCTTTAATTTCTTCTACTTCCTTTAACCTGATGAGCACTTAGCAGCACAAAAATGAAACTGACATTTATTATTCTACAGTCACAATTTGTCATGACAAGGTATATTGATCATACAATCAAACCATTTTTTAGCTCCAATATGGCGGATTATGATAAGTTGTCGCCACTGTTCTAATACAGTCACTGTAGTCGCAACTGTCCTAATACAGTCACTGTAGTGTATTCGAGCTGCATTATCGTCCATCAACAACTGCCATTACTGCTGACATTGTTACCAGGGGGCCCTACTGTGAGGTTGACAGACGGCTAGCCAGGTATAGCCAGAGGATAGCTCTTTTTCGGCAAGTGGTGGTCAAGACTTTATTATAGAACAGGATATAAAATACAATTGTGGTACAAGTCTTAATTTCAAAATCGAACTAGGATATCGTAAACTACACTATGACATGCTGTTTTGTCGCACACTACTCTCCCGGGCACTTCGGTTCCCAATCTTGTTCGTCGTTGCAGAAACTGCGACTGTCGCAAGAAGAACAGTCTTTAGAGTTAGGTATGCTGTCGCACGGATTGGTATAATAACTTGCTCTGTATGCGCATCTCCTTACAGTATAGTTACTCGCTATAGAAAATGTGTACATATTATCTTACAACACTTAAAATTAGTTTGACTTACTTGTATCGACATATTTCACACAGCTGGAGTGAGGTTGGTCATATGGAGCAGAGCACGCCTTATCATAACCATTCCTACATGTTATACAGTCGTTGCCCTTGGCACCGCTGCAGGTGGCGCACTTTCTTAAATCTGTTTTAGAGAGACTAGAGCAGTAATTTTTAATTACCCAGCAGAAAACATACATGCCGAAACAACGAAGCACAGGGAAAGGCCAACTAACAAAATCTTGATGTGCATGTTGATGATGACTGGCGAGAAACTACGACGCCTCTTCCAAAGTGATGCGGTTATTTATACTTCTTCAAAAGCGGGCTAAGTACCTGTATATAGATAAACGGTACCTATCATGAAAATAAGATAATGATTAGTTCGTAAAGTGTTGTGTTTATCAATTTGTTCTAATGACGCGCAAGGTTTGGAACGTCTCACATTTCATCAACAGTTACGTAATGTAATTCCTTACGCAACTGAGTTAGGTAACGCTCGGACAACCATTACGTATACTTCACAATGACGTTCGTCTACCGCATTGTTTATAGTACATTTCGGGGTTTTAACACGCAGTTTTCTTGAAAATACGCGTGAAGTTACCCCCCCCCCCAACATTAAAATAATGAAACGTCAAATACTTACTTCGTTTCCACACTGATTGCACATTTAGGCACACTACGATTTTTCGTTTGCACATTTCTCGAAAAAAAGATATTCAAAAAACAGTTGGGGGGGGGGGCAACTTCACGATTTTATCCCCCCCCCCAAATTAAAATGACGGAACGCCATTATTTCCCTTGTTTGCACATTGATTGCACATGTAGTCACACTTCGATTTAAGACGCGGTGAACATATGAAGTAAATTCATGTTTATTATATTGGAACAATTCACCGGAATTAAGTTCACTTATTTGTTACTATATAAAGTGTAATTATACTTATTTTCACCCCTTTCTTCAACCTGGAGCCCTTCTCTCCTTTCTCAAATTCTGTACTGTTCTTACAGGCTTCCTTGTCCCGGATTACCACATTAAAAGGGCTCGTGGTGGCGGTATTCGGGAGTCATGTAGTCTGAAATCCTGTACTCAAGAATGTTTAATTGTCGTACAACTCCCTAAGTGTTTTGCACCTTTGTGTAATCCCACCTCACTTTGGAGCAATCTGATTTCTCCACGTCGCCGGTGCAAACTCCGTAGAAGATCCTTCGAATGTGACCGTTAAACCGTTAAAATTCCACAAAAAAAATCAGTTCAATGCCATGCACCTAGAAACCTGATTTTAACCAGCCGTTACTGTTAGCGATCCGAAAAAATCTGTTCGTCTATTTTTGATTGGAAAAGTGGGTCTTCGACTCGAAAATGTTCCTTCGCCTATATTTTACCAATCGTAAATCAAAGGCATTCCTTCGAATCGAAAGTTTTTGTTCGTCACGAGGAGTGCCGGTGATTTAATATGCTTTTACTCGAAGTTAAACTGCTAATTCTTTACTATCCGGATTGATTTCACTCACGTTCCAGTTCTCGAGTTACAACCGCAAATCTTCACACATACACATGAAGATATTTCTCGCAACGCCGCTAAAAATGTCGTCAGGGTATCAATTTTTTCACACACTGGTATTTGCGCGTGGTCGCTCTTGACATTGAGCATTTCTACTAGAAATAAACCAAGAATATACCCAAATACGTGCTTGCTCGCGAAAATCAGCTTAAAACGAACGCTCTTCCACTTCTCTCGTTATTCGAATCTCGCCCGTTAGAAGTTCTGAAACGGGACCCATTTTCTGAACGCAACAACCTCGACTAGCATACCTTCTTAAACGAATAATAAACCTGCATTTTCGTCACGTGCTCGACCTTAAACACAACGGAACGAAACTCTTTCCCCATTACGTTTCTTGTTATCACTTGTTACCTATCGCCTTTTTTATGTTCGCTATGAAGCGGTAAAGTTTATCAAAATACAAATTCACACAAATTCAAAATTTTAGTAACCGTCGAAGCGATCACCTGTTAAGAGCGTAAAGGCCAATAAAACATCTGAAAGGTTGGTATAGTCCTGAAGGCTCTTATGGACAAATACTTTGCACTGTGTATGTATTAAAAAAAAATTTTAAAAAACCCATTCAGGTTTGTTGCAGATTTCTGAAGCCAAATGTCTTTAGGGGGCTCTTGAAAATACCTGGAAAACGCTTGAAGATTCTCTCTAAAAGAATACGATATTACAAGTAGACATTCAATTTCTCAAAGCGGCTTTCAAAGCTCTAAAATGCACTTGCCCTCATTTGATCTTAAACATTTTTTAGCACCTCCCTCATTGCTTCTAGTAAATATTTCATGTGTCTGTTCCAACGAAGAAAGGTGGAGGGGGGGGAGGGAGGGGGGAGTAATCGGACCGACCAATCGAGGTGCATGAGATGCTTGGTAAGCTGCAATAGAGTGGATCGAAACTCAAGCTGTTTTAACTGCGGCGAAGAAGGTCACGCGGTCAAAGACTGTAAAACTGTCAGTCAAGGAGGAAGAGAGCGGTGCAGACATAGGGTCCTTTTGTGTATTGAATGAGGAAAATTCATTTATATCCATATCGTTCGAAAAAACCACGCCCAGAAAAAAACTAGCCAGTAGAGATTTCATCGAAGTGAAGTTTGCCGACGGATGACTAACTTACAGCTTCATTGTTTCATTTTTCTGGATTATTATCGTTGTTACGAGATTCGTTGCCACATCGACAGCATATTCTATAGAAGGACAGTATGTCTATGAGGTCCAGTGGTATTTATTTATGTCAAATTAAGGGTTGCCTTTCTTTAAGAAAAATCGCCGTGAATTATTTTTGATTGAAGAATAGGAACACACGAAGTATACGGATGGTTGAAAAGAAAAAGATGGAAAATCGTGGATAGAGATTAACCGTTCGAACTGCCGTATCTCTTCCTGAGTGTTTACGTGCTTGCATATTGACAGTAGATAAAAGCAATAAATAGCAAAACGATTACTTTAAGTATCTAAAAAACAGAAAAAACGATATGAATTCATAACGTTCAGATTACAGTAGTTACGCATCCAAACAAATGAAATGAAGTTTTTGAAAATCAAAACTCGGTCACAATTAGTAATGCTTTAGTTCATAACAATAGACCAAATATAAGGAAAAATTATTCGAATCAAGGTACAGAGGCCGATGTTTATAAGTACCGGAACCAACTGACGAATTACTCCGAGTCAAACTGCCGAAGCACTGCTGTGACGTCACAGAGGACGCCACCTACTTATGCCTCATTGGCCGAAGGGACCGTTACGTAACCACCAGCATGCGCCTCATTTGCATTCAGCATCAGTCTACTGCGCATGTGCAAATCGTTAAAAAAAAATGACTAAACTGAACCTTAGAATTTCGCATGAGAAATAACGTGAGATTTTGAGCAAAAGAGATACAAAGATGAAGGGAAATGCAGATATGAACAAACAGGAGACAAAGCGCAGTTTCTTAACCGAAATAGCTTTTGTTTTTACATCACCAATGGATATATTTCTTGCAGACGTCTCAATCGCCCTTTGCGAGTACCCTCTTCCGACAATCCGTTCTTGAGGTATAAGGGAATATATCCGATCACGATAAGAGGTCGAGGAAGAGGGCTATGGTTGGTAGAAATTAATTCCTTTCGTTGAGACCTTTCATTAGAGTAGCATGAAGGATAAAACTGGTTGCACCCCCCCCCTCTCCCTCCACCCCGTACTATGATAAGAGAACAGAAAGAAGGGCAGTAGTTGGTAAAAAACGGTTCCTTTCGTTGAGGCCTTTAATTAGGATACAATGAGAGATAAAATTAATTTGTAACCCCCGCCCCCTCAGTCCCCGCCGCCCACTGATCTCGAAAAAGAGTCACACGGGAAAGTTATAGTTTGTACAAACCAATTTATTTCGATGAGACCTTTCATTCGAATACCATGATGAGTAGAACATGTGTTTACCCCCCCCCCCCCCCAATTTTCAAAAGTTTAACTTGGCACCACTAAAGGTATGCATATGCAAAATCTGAGACCAATTGGTTGTGGTATGTACAAGTGATGCACGTTTTACTTTCAAAAACAGCATCTCAGGAAATAATTCGTGGGGGGGGGGGGGGCCTTTTAGACAGCGAAATTTGGTGACCGCCTGGCACACCTTAAAGGTATAGGCGACCATTCCCCTAGAAGTAGTCCGAAACGGCAGAAGTGGGTCCGGACGGACGGACAAAACGTAAACTTTTTTTAATTCTTAAAAAATACGCTAAAAAATACCGTTGAGACTTGGAGAGAGCACAGAGACGGAGTGGAAAAACATGAAGGAGAGTAGTAAACGGTAAATGATGGGGAAGAGAGAGATAACGGAAAATAGTGGTAGAACAAAGAGTGTATAATAAGAAAGAAACCGATACAGAAGAATGGTGAAAAGAGAAGGAAATGGAGAGATAGAAGACAGGGAATTGAGAAAACAGAATAAAAACATAATGAGTGGGAGACAAATACAAATAAATACGGGAAACAGCACTTTATAAAGGTATTACAAGGAAAGCAAGGGAGAAGAGTGATAGAGAACGAAGGAAGAGCGAGATGTCAAGAGAAAAATGGAAAAGCGACGTGGAGGAATAAAATAACGGACGAGGAATAGATTTTCCCCACAGGAACAAGGAGAAGCTGAGGAATCTAATAAATAAGGTACGGGAGGAGGAGGAGGAGTACTGGAAAAATGGAAAGAAGTGCCGATTTACAAAAGAGGTGGCAAAGATGCGTGCAGAATGTGTTGAATGAAAGGCTAGGAAGAGAAGGGAATGTTAGAGAAAATACAAATGGGATTCAGATGAGAGAGCGAAAGTCATGATCGATTGTATATCTACATGGACTGGACTCGTTAAAAAGGAAAGAGATAAAGTACGAAACATGATGGAGGATGGGAAAATAGAAAAAGAGCATAATCAAGAAGTTATATGGAGAGGCAGGAAGTAGGGCAAGGATACGAAGGAAGTAAAATGGTGAGAACAAAAAAAATTATGAAAGAAAAGGAAACGAATGAGCAGAGGTTGAGAGGAGTAGATCAATAGGGTAAAGGACTAAAGAAGAACTTGACCAAGGTACACAAGTGCAGCGACAGAGATAAAAAAAATGGAGAATTCACGAAGAAACAGCAGGTACGAGGAGCTAATCTCGGAAAATCTCAAAATAATAGCGATATTTGGATGTGGAAGGAAGAAGAAAGAAAATGCAGATTATGTGAAGCGAAAAGGGAGGAAACGAGGTAGAAGGAACAAGAGAAATCAGAAAAGAAATACTGGGCGAGAGACGAAGAGGCTAATAATAGAAAAAAGGGGCAGAAAAATAACAAAAATATCGCACCTCAGTTGAAGTTCCATTGAAAAGGTATAGAGGGGGCTTTAATCCGCTTCCGACCCTTTTCACTTTTATTTACCGTAAACTTTGCGGAGAATTTTTGTCGCTCAAAAATAAGATTTCTGAAAAAATGTTTAAATTCCGAACCACTTTACGTCTCTCTAATGTTTCGAACCCGAATTATAGCTGAGCTCTTCTACAGTTCAAAACCGAATCTCTTCTGTTTAATCCCCTCTGCTAATTTTAATCTATCCCAGCACCCACGAAATTGCGATAACTAATTAAGTCAGCCATTCCTAATCACGAATTCAACTGATTCGTTTCGATCAACGAATTAGGCGAGCGCTAGTATCATAACTCAAAACCTCGCGAGCGTTCACGTTCACGTTTGATATCGAGTTCACAAGAAACTTGAATATCATTATCACCTTGATAAGCAAGCAACTTTAGGACTTTAAACGGTGAGCAAATTTTAGACATTGACCGGTAACCAACCTTTGGACTTTGAACGTCGATCTACCTTTGAACTTTGAACGGTTTTGGTAGTTTTAGTATCGTCATTGGTTGACCTTTAAGTCAGTCAGTTTTGTTGCGCTGAATGTGTGTAATTCTAATGTAATGACGTTTTCGCTCAATGTATGGGAGGATGCAAATGTAACTCCTTCTCTTGGGACAGAAGTCAATATATCACAGGGACATATTGTAAATTGTCTCTACCTTTTGGTGAAATAATGATTGTAACAAATTTGGTATCGTTGAAAAGAGCATTCCTTGGGCAACGAGAATCAACCAAAATATAGTTAATTTGGTCGAATCCTTCTCCGCCAGGGGGCTAGTTTTGACACTATGATCCAAAATCCTAAAAAAATCAAATGGAATGATATGACTTTTTCTTTATTTTGCGTTTCCCAGGTACTCGCAGTGAGATCATTTTGACACTCTGAATGCCCGACATCTAGATTTACTAAAATGTTGGAATGATCCTCCTCTAATTGGAACAGCCACTACATGAAGCAGCGTGACCAGGACCGGATCTACATATTTTCTGCCCATGGGCCCCTCGAAATCGCCGCCCCCCCCCCTTTCCACTCCAACCAATTAAAAGCATTTTATGCCCTAACCGAAATTTATTTCTAAAAATATGCAATATTTTTTACTCTACAAAAAAGTCTTTTCTTTCTCCTAATTTGCTCAAATTGATTTAATTAGTGGTAAAAACATGTTTTAGATTAATTATGAGATTTATAAAGTGTTACTGAAACAGAGTATCTGTAGTTTGAATTACAGTCAAACAACTTTTTAATTTTTAGAGAACTGTACTCCTTTTTTTAAATAAAAAAGGCATCAATTTCAGATAACGCTTATTTTCCAGTTTAAACAATGAAATCCAATATACAAACATCTGAATCGTGTTATTAAGCCCCCCAGGTACATTATGAAATTGATAAAAATGGCTAGAAGGCACCTTAATTAAGCGTTTTCAACAAAAACATTTGCGGGAGAAGCCCTAAATATTCCACAATCTTAATACAAAGCCGAAATGTGAGGTTATATGTTACACCATACACCAATTTCTTATGAGATTATGTTATTTTTCCACGATAGTACTGTAAAATTATTTCCCAAATTTGGTTGCCGCCCCTAAAAATTTGCCGCTGTATGCCCGGGCCCACATGGCGCCATACCAAATCCGGCTCTGAGCGTGACCCCAACGAAATCTGGATGCAACAGAACCCCATTCACAAAACTGATTAATCCCAAAGGATATCCAATTTTTAACCCTAGCTTGGAAACATTTCTCTTAACGCGCTTCAAGATATATCAAATTAAATTCACTCGCACGAACGGTTACAATGGGGGTTTACAGTATAGTTGAATTCCGCAATTCTAATTTAATAAGCGTGTACCTGAAACCATAAAACATTTTTTTGGACAGTAAAAGTTTATTTAAAAATAGAGGCTGATTAGCCAAAAAGTAATGAACATGTGCGGTTTTAAAGGTTTATTCAAAACGATATGATTGTGGCGGGCTCTGTGACGTAATAAGCCCGACCAATCAGCTCCTAGAACCATTCAGATGACATAACGACTTGGCAATATTGCAGGAGAATGGCATTTATAACTTGCGTCATCTGTCACAGGCACTTGTCACTTTCGTGCTAGATGCAGTTAAACATCCCTCTCAAAACGTCAAATGTGACAAACGTCAGACCCTCGCGTAAGGTTGCCAGCTCACTTCTACGTGATTGGTTGTAGGTTTGTGACGTATTTAGTCTGAAGCGTTTCAAATTCGGACTAAAAACACAGCTTTTCAATAATTTATTTTGGGTTTATTTTACTCGCAAATAAAAATTGAGGACACACGGGTCTTTTTATTTTTAATGTACTTTGTGGATCAGAAATAAAAAATGAAGGCGGGATGACCCCATTGGCAACGTTGGGTTTAACGTGAGCCCGCCCCCAAGAATAGTCAAGCTAGCTAGATTGGTCAAATTTTTTCGAATGTTATAAAAAAATTGCATATGTACCGCTTCATATGAAGAGTGAGCGCGAGTGGAATTATGGGCGACAACGAAACTCGTTTAAAAATGCTCGCGCTTTGCGATAATCCAAACGAGTTGGAAGAATTGCGTCGGTTCCGTATCGGTTTTTCTGGTGGGCAAAATATTGGTTGAAATGCGCTACGGACACTATCCTAACCCTGCGGATGGAGGCGAACCGTCCTGTTGCACCTACAAACAATTTAAATTAACAGCACTAATTAGCACAAAATGAGCACAAAATAATAGTAAAAGAAAATTTTGAAAATATTAATGTTGACACTCCATCAGAAAAAGTTGAATTACTCATGACCTGATGAGCACAACTGCACAACATTTTAAATTAGCAGCACAAATTAACACAAAATGAGCACAAAATTATATAAAAGAAAATTTTTAAAATATCGATGTTGACACTCCGGCGTGAAGTTTGAGAGTCATCAGAAAAAGTTGAATTACTCATTAACCTGATGAGCACAAGATTATAGTAAAAGAAAATTTTGAAGGTATCAATGTTGACACTCCGGCGTGAAGTTGGATTGTCATCAGAAAAAGTTGAATTACTAATTAAACTGATGAGCACAAAATTTTAATTAGCAGCACAAATTAGCACAAAATGAGCACAAAATTATAGTAAAAGAAAATTTTGAAAATATAAATGTTGACACTAGCGTGAAGTTGGAGTGTCATCAGGAAAAGTTGAATTACTCATTAACCTGATGAGCACCACATTTTAAATCAGAAGCACAAATTAGCACAAAATGAGCACAAATTTATAGTAAAAGAAAATTTTGTAAATATCATTGTTGACACTCCGGCGTGAAGTTGGGGTGTCATCAGAAAAAATTGAATTTCTCATTAACCTTATGAGCACAACATTTTAAATCAGCAGCACAAATTAGCACAAAATGAGCACAGATTTATAGTAAAAGAAAATTTTGAAAATATCAATGTTGACTCTCCGGCGTGAAAATTGGGTGTCATCAGAGAAAGTTGAATTACTCATTAACCTGATGATCACAAAATTTTAAATCAGCAGCACAAATTAGCACAAAATGAGCACAAAATTTAAGTCGACACTCCAACTTCACGGACCCGGATGTTACATAGACGATGAGACGGCACACCACATACTTTGTGAATGTTCCGCTCTAGCTAGTCCAACTGAAACGATCCATGCGGGGCAGGGGGGGGGGGGAACCTGGCCGAGGATGGATACGATTAGAGCCGTCCCCTTCCGTCATTCCTAGGCTCATCTCACGTGTGGGATGGCTTTGAGTGACGTGAAGGGGTCGAACGACTCTAGGCTAGAATTTGAGGCCTAGGTACGCGTGGCCTTCTTCCACAGTGTTTAGTATTGCCACAGATTTTGTATTTAATCTGTGGTATTGCCAATAAAAAGAATTCCTCGAATCGGTCTCGATGAAAAAGATAAAAGGATGATCCGCCTTCAAGTTCATTAGAGGTGTAAGGTGAGGTTCCGACTTTTCCCCACAGGAACCCTAGAAGAAGGTGCTCACTTTTTACCTGAAGCATGGCGGACGATGCGATTGCTCCTTTTTCGTTCACCTTCACGTGACTGTTTTTTCCTCTGTTAAAATTCCGCTCAACTTAATTCTTGTGCTAAACGCATCGTTAATTCCCGTAAACAAGTTGTACAGGGTGAGTCAACGATTGCGCGGAGTACCTTAATGCCTTGCAGATAAGATTTTTCCATAAAGTGCTTTTGTATTATGATATGGTTGAATATTCTCCACATTTTAAAAATATTTGGAATTATACAGGGTGCGCTCACAAAGTAGGGCGCCAAAATGGTACATTTTTTTAAATAGAACCCCTTATATTAGAATGCATTTTTTAAATTCTACGTGTAAATTATACGTCTTTTATTATATGGTTAATATCCGAAAAACTAGTATTTTTAAAGATAATTCGATTTGTAATAAAAATTGGGCAGTTGCAAGCGTCAGTGTATTTTCAAAATTATTAGTTAAATTTTCATTCCAGGTTTTATTTCTTTTATCCTGGGTTAAGTAAAAGTCAAATAAATACATCTACTATGAAACATTAAAAAAATAGCTTACAGGGTGTTTTTTTTGGTAGGTTCAAAGTTGCAAAACTTCACAACAATCTGAGTTTTTTTAAATGGAACACCCTGTATATTTTTCTGTCATCTTTTAGCTCCTCTAAAAACCTTCAACTTTTGATAATAATGTCCTATGTGTGTGCTCTAAAGTTATATGTAATTTCCATAATAACGAGGTGGCCATGCAAAGAAAAGGCTGACTCACCCTGTACATCAGTACATGATGAAAGCGCATTTTTGGTAATGCAGATCAGTATTTCATTAGGAAAGTGTAAAATTATCGATCTCACTAATAATTTAACCCAAAATAGACTAGATCCTGCACATCTACAATTTGAAGTCTCTAGCTAATGTAATTGCTGAGATATCTGTCGGACAGCCAGTCAGCCATAACGAATATAATAGCGTATTTTTTCCAAAAATGCGCAAAAAGCGGCAAAAGAAGTTCTAAGGCTTTGCATGGCAGTTCGAGAAATTAGATTTAGGTATCTTCAATCTGAATTTTGACCGAGACAGTCGAAACAATTTCAGTGGAATTTTTCTTGAAATTTTCCTGCACCTCTTTCGAAAGGAATATTAGTAGTGGGGTTCTTTCCCGGTACGGCGTAATAGTGTAGAAAAGGCAAAATTGTGCGTCAGAGCATCCGAAATGATTAGGATTTGCCCTAAATTACTGCAAAACTACTCAAATCAATCGACAGAGAAAGTTACACAACGCGCGTATGGATACATTTCACTTACGCCAATCTGATTGCCCGAAACCTTTTACGTTCGACACAATTACAGAAAGACATGTAGGTTTAATGAGTATTTAGTGATAATTACACCGATATTTCAATGTAATTAGCCACTTTCTAAAGTACAATTAAAGTGCCTTACAAGCGCGGCTTTGTGCTCAGTTTGTGGTTCTAAACGATGGAGGAGGCGACGCCGATTCAAAAGTTTTATAGTGGCCAAACGGTTTTCGTGACCGGCGGCACCGGGTTCGTGGGGAAGGTCCTTATCGAAAAATTGCTAAGGACCTGCTACGACCTTAGGAAAATTTACATGCTGGTCAGGCCGAAAAAGGGACAGACATGCGAGAAGCGAATGGAGGAGTTCTTTAACAATTCGGTAAGTGATCTAGATCTTCCAATTTTGTGTAGGAAAAGTGGTGGTCAGCCTAAAGGCGATTTTCCACATTTTTTGAGTGTGTACAAAAGAGGTTGATTGTTTTTTATTTCTCAAGGCTGGCTGAAATAGTACCGTAATGATAACTAGAAAAGAGTGGAATATACTTATTGATTTAAATAACATAAATAATTACTTTTCCATTGTCATTAAACCAAGAAAATCTACAGTTCAGGATTATTTTGGTAACCCTGATGCAAAAACAAGACACTACGCTCAGTACGGAGGAGAATGGAGTTACCCTTCTTCGACTGCCATGCGAAAACGTTTGGGGAAAAATTCTAAATTTCTGAAGTTATATATATATATATACGTGCTTATCTGTATGAATGGATATCATTCTGGCACCCAGATATTGTACTACAAATTTTCTGCGGATCATATAAATCTGAGAATTTTTTAGGAACCCTTTGAAAGTATCTCTGGAAACTAGTTCTATTTTTTGCAATTCTTAGAAATCGATCTCTGCACCTTTAAAAGCATTCTGGGGCTTTCTGATTTTCTAGAGCCGTAAATAAGACTAGAGTCTCTAAGTGGGTCTAAGGCTACAGGCTTTTGGCTTTTCGGTGTCCTTAGAGATTGTTGAGAGAGCCCATAAATGTTCCTTGAAATAGCATTAAAGGAAAGCAATAGCAAAACCGTACAATCAAAATCAATTAAAAATGCAAACAGAAGCTTCTTTTAAAAATTGAATTTTTTGAAATCGTCTTTGAGATCCATATTGGCAACCCTTTAAAAAATTCGATATCCTTCTATGAAGCTCGGAAAACCCACTAGAAGTATTAGAAATCAAATCTTATGAAGATGTTCCTAATGAGGCTTTTGAAAATTTAACTCTGACGGTCAGAGTGCACTGCCCGACACTTTTTATTGTTTCAAATTTCTTGAAAATACATAGCCGTGATTTAAAAGAGTTCAATACCTTAATATATTTTTGTTTAGCGATTGTTGAAAATCATTGAAAGAATTCAAAGAAGGCAAATTTAAAAAGTGTTTCAAGATCAGGTTCTTAAAAAAACGTGTTTTAACAACCTTCAGTTTGTATTACAAAAATACTAACTATAATTACATACCAGTCTTGCACTAGACGGTGGATTGGAGTTTCTCCCTGGGCAAAACGCTTTTGGGGGTCCATGCCTTAACCCAATATGACATACTATCTTTTTTTTTTGGTTCCGACCAGATTCTCAGAAAACTCCAAAGAGCTTATATTGCAAGAAGGTGCTTCCAGCTTTGGAAGATTTTGGGCAGATTCCAAAATTCTTCTGAGAGTATTTGGAGGAAGAAATTCTGAGAAGATTGTAAGGATATCCTAAGAATATTCTAAGCAAATGATCAATTATTGTGATAGCTTCGAAGATGCAAGACTGTTATAACATTTTTGGTATCACAGAGTTTTTAAAAACTTGTCATCTTGCACAACTTTCAACCATTATATCTTTAGCTTCTTAGAATCCTCTTTAGGAGGCCGATATGTTGATTCAGAGAGAAAGATTCAGAGAGAGAAAAAATTCGCGTTGAGCCGTCAAAGAGCTCAGTGGGGGTAACCGAGAAAGGAATGCGCGGAGAGCTCAAGTCAAATTAGCGAAAAAACCATCCGTTTACTGTAAAGAAGATCTTTAGACTCTATTATAACATTTTTGGTATCACAGAATTTTTAAAATCTTGTCAACTTGCACAACTTTCAACCATTATATACTCAGCTCCTCAGAATCCTCTTTAAGAGAAATTTGTTCACTAAACCACACTAACTTTCGGTTACTGCGGGCACTTATACTAATTTCGGAGTTAGTCCAACCAAGTTTAATCATCTTTTTTTTTCTAAGAATCCCGTACTGGTCTCGCTGCGTGCCATTTCTTATTAATTAGAGAACGCCTACAAACTGGCTTCTGATTAACGCAGACGGCCATTTTTAATCGTTAATTCGTTTGCTTAATCTCGATGCTGAAATGATCTCATGCCAAATTCGCAGTTGTAATTCGATTAGGACAGTCTTCGATCCCACCGTATGCTCGTTGCAGAATCTTTAAGAGACTCTAAAGCCAGTCGCACCCAATCGTTGTGTTTGAATGAAGTCTCTCGAATTTTGTATGAAGGCCTTGAGGACTGTGTGGAGTGTAAGGTTTCATGAAGTTTCCAGTCTCCGTTTCTTCGTTAATTCTTCTCCTTTTTAGTAAAAATTCTTCACGAGCATGATCTTCAAGGGAGCAACTAAATGCTCTCGAGGCTGTTAAAGATTGTGAAAAACAGTTTTAAATCTCATAATCTTAATCTCTTGAAAACTAATTTAGTCTTTAAACGCGAGCAAGAAGTCCAAAAAAACTGCAACAAAACTTTCGCGATTCGACAGCTAAGCTGTTATGATCAGCGAAATAAGGTAGAGTACATACGAATTATATCTGGTCGTTGATGCCATTTTGCTGATATGTTGATTCAGAGAGAGTTTCGAGAGAGAGAAAAATTATCAATTCGCGTTGAGCCGTCGTAGAGCTCAGTGGGGATAACCGAGAGAGTAATGCGCTGAGAGCTCAAGTCAAATTAGCGAAAACACCATCCGTTTATTGTAAAGAAGATGTTTGGACCCTATCATAACATTTTTGGTACTACGGAATTTTTAAAATCTTGTCAACTTGCACAACTTTCAACCATTATATCCTTTGCTTCTCAGAATCCTCTTTAGTAGAAATTTGTTTATTAAACCACACTAACTTTCGGTTACTGCGGCCACTTATACTAAATTCGGGGTTAGTGCAACAACCAAGTTTAATCCTCTTTTTTCCCTGAGAATCCCGTACTGGTTTTTTTTTAGTTGGATCCATCGTTCCTCGAAATGGGGGTTGAAATATATTGTGTGATCAAAACTCTCTAAACCCTCGCTGCGTGCTATTTCTTATTAATTAGAGAACGCCTACAAACTGGCTTTTGACTAACGCAGACGGACATTTTAAATCGTTAATTCGTTTGCTTAATCTCGATGCTGAAATGATCTCATGCCGAATTCGCAGTTGTAATTCGATTAGGACAGTCTTCTATCCCACCGTATGCTCGTTTCAGAATCTTTAAAGCCAGTCGCACCTAATCGTTGTGTTTGAAGTCTCTCGAATTTTGTATAAAGGCCTTGAGGACTGTGTGGAGTGTAAGGTTTCATGAAGTTTCCAGTCTCCGATTCTTCGTTAATTCTTCTCCTATTATTCTACACGAGCATGATCTTCATGGTTGAGTACAGATGAATTATATCTGGTCGTTGATGCAATTTAGCAGATATGTTGATTCAGGTTTCGAGAGAGAAAAAATTATCAACTCGCGTTGAGCCGTCGTAGAGCTCAGTGGGGGGTAAAAAGGAATGCGCGGAGAGCTCAAGTCAAATTAACGAAAAAACCATCCGTTTATTGTAAAGAAGGTCTTCTTGCTTTTAACCTGTTCTATTTTGGGTTCCTTTCCTACTTTCAATTATATATATTAATATAGTAATTCATTTCAGTTGTACGATCGTTTGAAGATTGAGCAACCCGCTTCCACCGGCAAGCTATGCATGATTCCTGGCGATTGCGAACTGCCCGATCTTGGATTAACGGCCGACGACCGGGAGCTGTTGCGATCCGAAGTGAACTGCGTGTTTCACGTGGCGGCGACGGTACGGTTCGACGAGAAGCTCTACAAGGCGACCTACATCAACGTGCGCGCAACCAGAGACCTGATACGGCTCGCCAAGGAAATGCTCGAGCTGAGGAGTTTCGTTCACATCTCGACGGCGTACTCGTTCTGCGTCAACAGCACGATCGATGAAAAAATCGGCGAGGTTCCGATAACGGCGGAAAATTTGATCAAATTCGTCGAAACGACCGGAGAAAAGAGAGTGGTTGCTGCCACGCCCGAGTAAGTAACCAATCGAGATTAGGTCACGGATAAGAACATTGTTTCTAATTGGCTGTGCGGTCAAAACTCACGGAAGGGCATGCGAAATACCTTCATACCTTGTTTCTGTGTCCTTGCTTTTCGATCTATTATTTTTTTGCTTACTTGCTGAAAACCCAAAACGGAACCAAAGCAAAATTCACGACTTGCGTCTGTTTTTATCTCAGCCCACGGCATCCAAACCCCTGGCCAACTTGAAATTTCGATTCGCAAGTAACTAACGCGAACGTGAAAAACTTAAATCGAATTCAAATCAAATAAAATGAGCCTGTGGGTTCCCATTGCAGTACCCCCTTGGAATTTTTAAACTAATTATCCAATGATTTTTTTAAATAATTTATAAGACGGAAGCTGGGCCCTAAACTGACTAACCTAATCAAAAATCCAAACACTTATTATTAATCCAGTCGTGGGCCAATTGTTAGAACAAATTTATGTAAAGTGTTAATAATCCAAAATCTCTGGTTGTATTGCGATGTTCAAACAAACGCACCAACACAAAACAAATACTTCTTCGTACGTTTTTGCGTCCACCAAAAAATGAAACGATTAACGTCTACTACCAAACAAGCTTGACCGAAAAGCCTGCGTTCACGTCCGTCTCTGCTATTTAAAACAGTCCCTGTCCGTTCCACTTCCAACTGCGTCTGCGAATAAATTAGACACCCATGTTTTCTTAGAGGCGCAAAAACATCTATGACAACACGTGCTTATCTTGAAACTAATTATCCCACGCAGCGATAACGCTCTTATCGCAATAACCGGAGATAACATTTTTACAAAAGAATACCCTTGACCTTTTAACAAGTAATTTCTTTATAATTAATGAAAAAAATATAAGCGATTATTGAAAGGAAAATTAACATCCCATTAAATCCCTTTGATTTCAAATTCAAGCACTATGACCGAAATTGTGTTAATTCTAAATTATCGTCCAGCATTTCACGTCAAAGGACATTAAAATTCACACATACAGGGGTGCACTGGTGTACATTGTAGGTGCTGCAGCTAAACAAAATGTCCGTCCCAGTATATTAAATAAAAAACAAAAATAAATTCTTTCTTGTCCTACATACACTAAAATACAAACACCATTGTCATGGTACGAAACGCCCTGTATACAAAATTGTTGCGATAGAAACAGCGCGAGTCGTCCATTTTGCGTTGGTTCCGTTTCGGTTTTTCGGTTGCCTCAACTGTAATCGTCGTGCTGAAAAACCGAACCGGAACCAATGCAAAATGGACGACTCGCGTCTGTTTCTATCGCAACAATATTGTATACAGGGCGTTTCGTATTTTTTCGCATAGTGCTATTCTTTCTAAAGGGAGGCAATTTGACATCAGCGCGACTTGTATTTAAAGGCAACCATAAGCACATGTTTCTTTTTAACATTGCAGCGTGATCAAGCCATGGCCGAACACTTACGCCCTGACGAAAGCTGTCGCGGAAAAACTGCTCGAAACGTCCGGAGCCGGACTACCGATTGCCGTCGTCCGTCCGTCTATAAGTCTGTACGTCTGCGCCCGCAACTCAGCACTAATCGTCTAATTCTAGTTCTCGCAACAGCGAATGAGCCGGTGAGCGGATGGATCGATAATTTCTACGGGCCGACCGCCGTTTTTTTAGGTGTCGCAATGGGCATCATTCGAACGGTCCAATGCGACGAAAATTGCGTCGTCGACGCCGTCCCCGCCGATTATTTAGCTAACACGGTCATCTCGGCCGCCTGGATGGCCAGCGGTGGACACCCAGACGGGTCGATTCCCGTATTCAACTTCGTCTCCAGCCGCGAAAGCCCGATAACTTGGAGTAAGTATCCGATTGAATTCGTGCTTGGGAATTTGGTTTAAAAAAATTCTATCATTATTAGAGGCCAGCTACGAAACGGCACTGCGCTACGCGAGACTGATACCATCGATGAAAGCGCTCTGGTACGGCTTCATAAAGACGACACCGAGCCCGATCGTATTCAACATCCTCCACTTCCTGCTGCACATCTTGCCCGCCTGTCTTATCGACGTTTTCCTCTCGTTAACTGGAGAGAAACCCTAGTAAGTATCTTGGAGCGGACAACCTTTGTAATTAAAATCCATCTTCTAGCCTTCTAAACATTTACAAGAAAATTAAGGAGAACATACACACCCTGTCATACTTTACCATACGACAATGGAACTTCGTAAACACAAACACTCGAACCCTTTGGATGAGCTTAAGTGACGAAGACAAATCGCTTTTCCAGTTTAATATGAACAGCTTCTCCTGGAATAGCTACATTTACTCTTACGTTTACGGGACGCGACTATACCTGCTAAAGGAAAAGGTCGAAACGTTACCGCAGGCGCGAAAAAGACTGTTTCGTTTGAAAGTTATCCACTACCTTGTAGTGGTCATTCTCCTGTACTTTGTATACAAATGTGTCTCATTCGCTCTAAATTTGCTATTTTGATAAGTTCGAAAGCCTCTTGGCTAGGGTGTAACAAAGCATGAAGATGACTCAGTATGAACACTGAGAAGCGTTGCAAGGAGGACACCTTTTGTTGTTATTTTGTAGGGACCTCCTCTTAATTTATTCTATTTTGTATTTATTTGTACTTTGAGGCAATAAAAAAGGAAAACCGTGCTCTACTCGCTTATTTATTTTTCTTTTTTACGCAAATTAACTTAATCTTAACTTTTTGGACCGCTCGACGCGAACGCTATTGTGACTTTACGCGCACTGCTCCCCGGATCACTAACAAATCTTTTAATTCACACCCATCCTGAGACGGACAACTCAAAATTCAATGACAATTTAATGACCCTTTCCCTACAATCGTCATTACCACCATGAGAGCATTCGTACACTCATGTAGTAGGGTGTAGGGTATAGAGTTGAATTTTTTGGTGTTGCGCAGAAAAGTCGATGCTAATAAGGTGGCCAGTAATTATTTACCAGAATAGAACGATCTCGGGAAAGAAGATCTGGCTGAGCTTTATCCGAAATGGTATACCTGATTACGCGTGAAGTGTGAAAATGAGGGGAGTGTCGAACGAGCCGGAGTAGTATAAAACAACTTAAGACCTTCTGCAGGAACACCTATAAAAAGCATTATGTGGGTCACTCTGTATAATAAGGTGACCAGTAATTATTTAGCAGAACAGAAGGGTCTCTGGAGAGAAGATCTGGCTGAGCATTATCCGAAATATTATATCTGATTATGCATAAAGTGTGAACATGGGTCTTCTACAGAGGAGTGTCGAACGAGCGGCGGGAAAACGATTTGAACATTCGAACAAATTCCAGAACAGTCGATGCTAATAAGGTGGCCAGTAATTATTTAGCAGAATAGAAGGGTCTCGGGAGAGAAATCTGGCTGAGCTTTATTCGAAATGTTATACCTGATTATGCGTAAAGTGTGATAATGGGCCGTATGAATAAAAGTAAGCAAATGCTTATACTTGCAAAATTCAAAGTAAATACTCGTAACTGCCCCTTCATACTGGTCTGTTTAGCAGCGCTGCACTGCGTCCTGTCCTTCTGCTTAGAAGCGCTGCTAAGTCGCCCAGTGCGAAGGAGCACTTACGAGTATTTACTTTGAATTTTGCAAGTATAAGCATTTGTTTACTTTTATTCATACGGCCCAATGAGTCTTCTACAGGGGAGTGTCGAACGAGCCGGAGTAGTATAAAACAACTTAAGACCTTCTGCAGGAACACCTCTAAAAAGCATTATGCGGGTCACTCTGTATAATAGGGCGGCCAGTAATTATTTAGCAGAATAGAAAGGTCTTGGAAGAGAATATCTGGCTGAGCTTTATCCGAAATGTTATACCTGATGATGCGTAAAGTGTGAAAATGAGTTTTCTACAGGGGAGTGTCGAACGAGCCGCAGTAGTATAGAACAACCTTAAGACCTTCTGCAGGAACACCTCTAAAAAGCATTATGTGGGTCACTCTGTATAATAAGGTGGCCAGTAATTATTTAGCAGAATAGAAGGGTCTCGGGAGAGATGATCTGGCTGAGCTTAATCCGAAATATTATACCTGATTATGCGTAAAGTGTGAACATGAGTCTTCTACAGGGAGTGTCGAACGAGCGGCGGGAAAACGATTTGAACATTCGAACAAATTCCAGAACAGTCGATGCTAATAAGGTGGCCAGTAATTATTTAGCAGAATAGGAGGGTCTCGGGAGAGAAATCTGGCTGAGCTTTATCCGAAATATTATACCTAATTATGCGTAAAGTGTGGAAATGAGTTTTCTACAGGGGAGTGTCGAACGAGCTGACGTAATATAGAACAACTTTAGACCTTCTGCGGGAACACGTCTAAAAAGCATTATGCGGGACAGAATAGAAGGGTCTCGGGAGAAAAATCTGGCTGAGCTTTATCCGAAATATTATACCTGACTATGCGTAAAGTGTGAACATGAGTCTTCTACAGGGGAGTGTTGAACGAGCGGCGGAAAAACGATTTGAACATTGCGCAGTTTTTTACATTGCGTCATACGGGGTATACAGAGTCGTCTCGTTATTTGTCCGAATTTCTTAAATTTAGTCATTTTGTTACGTGGGCGAGTAATCTTGAATGCGGTTCTGACATTTTAAAAGCGTGTGAAAGCTGGCGGCGCCGGTGAGTCATGGTATTTGACGCGAATCGTTCATATCACAGGCAACCCTTATTGAACTGAACTTGATTTCGCGTCGTGAACCGTCAGAACCTTTCCATTGACCCAGTCAGTACAGTTTCGTGCGTTTCAGTTCGAGATGAGCCGTGAGTGAAGTCACTTTTACCACCTGTAAATTACCATAGGGTGGATTTTATATTGTGTTACGAAATAAACGATGGTATGTATTGCTTATGGAGAGTGTAAATTGTAAAAAAATGCGAATTATTGACTTTTTGGTGACTTTCGTTTATAACATGGGACTTGGAAACTATTACTAAAAATACGAACAATAGTGGAAGTCTTTAACCCTTCAAGATTAACACTGCGTAGTATAAATTTTCATGTGTAGACTCAGCTAGAAGAAGTTAAAACTTTGCGTTTTCATTTAAATAAATAACGAGAACCCTCCTGCTGGGTTCAACTTATTATTAAGACTTTAATTATTGATTTATTTATTACAAAGCATTACTACAGCAGTTAGTTCGTAGGGCATAAAAATATTCGTAGTTTCCGTGTGACTTACCATAAGATTGCGCGCTACACAGTTTCTCTAAATGATTAACTCTCGCTGGAAAAATGACAAAGAAACTAATAAACAAATTAACCAATGAGATGCTGATGTATTTATCCACAACAAAAAATGTCATTTTACATGAAAATTAGAGCTTGGGATTAAACCAATAATTAAAACCGAAAACTAAAAATTAAAACCTTGTAAAGAAATCCCATGGAAGTTCTCTACGAATACAAAACTTAACATACCCCAAATGAGTAAGAATAGGAGGATAAAATAATACTGACAATGAAACGACAAAACGTCAACGAGAATATACGAGATAACAAAAGTGATTAAGCAAATGGCAGCCACATAGTACGCATCACCTAAAAAATTCAATTTATAGCCTCCATATTAGAGAAAAATGTATCTCATTCCAAATCTAATTCGAGATCAAACAAACGTCCGGTGAATCGCCAGAAACAAAATATAATCTGACGGGCCTGTCTAAATGGACGAATGATAAATCACCACCCACGAATCCGGCTCGAATTTAGACCTACAGTGAATCTCAAACAAAAATTACAGTGGCATTCAACCAAAAATAATTTATATGTACTGTTTTGGAATTGGATCAAGATAAATTTTATAAAGTCAGCTAGCCGTGGACATCCTTCGGGGCGGTAACAGTTAAACGTTAAATAAAACGTTCGAGAACCCCGTTACACCTATTTCCTCTTACTTGTTGTCAACCATCCCTTTTTTCGCAGTCTTAAAGTTGCCCGCACCTAAAGATCAAGTGAAGGTAGACCCAGGCAACCTTTCATAGCACCTGCGAGGTTGGTCACCACGGCGCTAGGGCACGAAGCACATGGTCCAAACGTGCTCTGGTGGTTCTAGGCCACCGGACTGAGCCTTTCTCTACCATCATCAATATCACCACCATGAGACCATTCGTATTTTATATAAATAAACTCTTCAAAATAGGGGGGGGGGGGGGGGGGTACCTAGACGCAGACAATCTATAATCATCATTATTGCCATTCGTGTACTGTCATAAATCAAGCCCTCGTGTGCCGGAGGTTTGGAGAGTATGGAATTTCCCCCAGCAGGGAAAATTCAATTACCCTTTCTCGACAATCACAATTTCCACCATGAGAACATTCATATACTCACACAAATAAAGTCTTCGTGAGCTGGGGAGAATGAACATACCCCCAACTTCCTCCGGTGCTACCCGATCGCAGCTCTGACGCCATCTAACGTAGCACCGAGGTGTCTGCGGGAGGGGGGGGCAGTAAAGAAAAATTCAACGACTATTTCCCTGCAATTATCATTATCGCCATGAGAGCACTCGGATAGTAGACATACTATACCGAACCTGGTTCAGTTCAGGGTCGCTCGCCACCTGGTGGCGACCTTTGAAAGAAGGTTAAGGTCACGTTGCGGAAACTTTGGGAATTCGGTCAAGGTGAAAGTCGAGTGTCACGTGTGCGGCGATCTTGGAAATTATGTCAAGATTAAAGTCGGGTGACACGTGGACGGTGGCGGTGACCTAATTTTTATTGGCATCCGAAGTCATCGACCCCATTAATTTTTAAGGACCTTAGAGGTCAATGTCCTCATTAACTTTTAAGGGTATTCGAAGTCATTGCTCCATTTTTGAGGCATCACATGACATTTCCAATGTCATCAGAGGTCATTGACTTAATAAATTTTCAAGGTCATTCGAAGACACGTTCGTTATCAAATTACATTTTCAAGGTCATCCGTGGTCATTGACCCCATAAATTTTCAGTCATGCGGGGTCGTTAACCCAGACTTGTTGGGATGTCAAATTACATGTTCAAGGTCATCCGAGGTTATTGGCCCAATGTTACATTACATTTTTAAGGGCATACGAGGTTATGACCTTATCCCAGGTCAATGACCCCAATTGAGGTGTTAACTAACATTGTCAATGTCATCTAAGGTCAATGATCTCAATTTTTGTGCCAGTATCAATTTTCAATGTCATCCAAGGTCATCGTGTTATAAAATTTCAATGGCATACAAGGTCAATGACTGCATTTTTATGTGGTCGAATTACATTTTTGAAGTCATCCAAAGACAATGAACCCATTTGTTGTGGTGTCAGATTTTTAAGGTCATAGGTCAATCCCTTCTTTTTGTGGTGTCCAATTACATTCTCCAGGTAATCCAAGGTCAATGAACCCATGTTTGTGTGTATCAAATAGCATTTTGAAGAGTATACAAGGTCAAAGGCACCATGTTTTGTGGTGTCAAATTACATATTAGGGGTAATCAAAAGTCAAAGGCTTCTTTATTTGGTGTCTAATTATACTCTCTCGGTCATCCATCCCATTTTTTTCGTCTCAAATTATATTTTTAAGGTCATTTCAGGTCAAGGGCCTCGTTTTTTATGCAGTCTCTAATTACATTCTCAAAGTTAGCCACAGTCAATGGCCTCATTTTTATTTGGCGTATAATTGCATTCTCAAGGTCATCCGAGAACAATGAACTCATGTTCGCCTCCAGAAAAATGGATCAGAATATTAACCACGGAAAATTCGCCCCCGGAAAATTCACTCTAGTAAATTTGCCCCAGTAATTTCGCCCTCAGAATATTATCCCCTGAAAATTCGCACCGGAAAATTAACCCCCCAATTTCCCCCAAAAATTCGCTTCTCCAAATGTTCTTCCCCAGATACATTTACCCCAGAAAAATTTGCCTTCAGAATATTCGTCACGGAGAATTCGCATTCGAAAGATTCGCTCCAGTGAATTTCCCCGTTAATTTCGCTCCCGGAATATTCTCCCACAAAAATAATCGCCCCCAGGTAAAATCGACCCAGAAAAATTCCCGTCCGGAAGATTCGCCCCCGGAAGATTCGCTCTAGTAAATTATCTCGGGTAATTTTGCCCTCGAAATATTATCCCCTAAAAATTCGCACCGGAAAATTCACCCCGGGAGATTTCCCCCAGAAATTCGCCTCTCCGAATGTTCTTCTGCAGATAAATTCATCTTAGAAAAATTTGCCTCCAAAATATTCGCGACCGAGAATTCGCATTCGAAAGATTTGTTCCAGCAAAGAGTAATTATGGTTACTCTTTGGTTCCAGTAAATTTTCCCCGGTAATTTCCCCACCGGAATATTCTCCCCAAAGAAAATTGGCCCCCAGGTAAATTTGACCCCGAAAAATTCGCCTCCAGAAAAATGAATCAGAATATTCGCCACGCAAAATTCGCATTCAGAAGATTTCCCCAGAAAATTCACACCGGAATCGAACAATCACCCCCAGATAAATTCACCCCAGAGATAGTCGCCACGGAAGATTCTTCTCCAGAAGATTCGCTCCAGTGAACTTTCCCCGTTAATTTCGCCACCGGAATATTCTCCCCAAAGAAAATTGGCCCCCAGGTAAATTTGACCCCGAAAAATTCGCCTCCAGAAAAATGAATCAGAATATTCGCCACGCAAAATTCGCATTCAGAAGATTTCCCCAGAAAATTCACACCGGAATCGAACAATCACCCCCAGATAAATTCACCCCAGAGATAGTCGCCACGGAAGATTCTTCTCCAGAAGATTCGCTCCAGTGAACTTTCCCCGTTAATTTCGCCACCGGAATATTCTCCCCAAAGAAAATTGGCCCCCAGGTAAATTTGACCCCGAAAAATTCGCCTCCAGAAAAATGGATCAGAATATTCGCCACGGAAAATTCGCCTCCGGAAGATTACCTCCTGAAGCTTAGCGCTATAGATTTTCCCCGTATATTCGTCCCCCACCAACACCGCTCCTATATAAATTCACCCCGCAAAAATTTACCTCCTGAATATTCACCACGAAAAATTCGACCCCGGAAGATTCGCTCTAGTAAATTTGCTACTGTAATTTTGTCCTCGAAATATTATCCACTAAAAATTCGCACCGGAAAATTCACCCCCGGGAGATTTCCCCAAAAAATTCGCCTCTCCGAATGTTCTTCCCGAGATAAATTCACCCCAGAAAAATTTGCCTCCAGCATATTCGTCACGGAGAATTCGCATTCGAAAGATTCGCTCCAGTAAATTTTCCCCGGTAATTTCGCCCCAGGAATACATATTCTCCCCAAAGGAAATTGGCTCTCAGGTAAATTTCAACCCGAAAAATTCGCCTCCAGAAAAATATGTCAGAATATTCGCCAAGGAAAATTCTCATTCGGAAGATTTCCCCAGAAAATTCGCCCCGGAATGTTCTCCCCGATCAATCGCCCCCAGATAAATTCACCCCAGAGGTAGTCGCCACGGAAAATTCTTCTCCAGAAGATTCGCTTCAGTGAATGTTCCCCGTTAATTTCGCTCCCGGAATATTCTCCCACAAAAAAACTCGCCCCAGGTAAAATCGACCCAGAAAAATTCCCGTCCGGAAAATTCGCCTCCGGAAGATTAGCTCCAGAAGCTTAGCGCTAGATTTTCCCCGTATATTCGTCCCTCAACAACACCGCTCCTATATAAATTCACCCCGCAAAAATGTACCTCCGGAATATTCACCACGGAAAATTCGACCCCCGGAAGATTCGCTTTAGTAAATTTGCGCCGTTAATTTCGCCCTCGGAAAATTCACCCCCGGAAGATTTTCCTCAAAAATTCGCCCCTCCGAATATTCTTCCCCAGCCCACGCCCCCAGATAAATTCACTCCAGAATATTCCGCCACGGGGAATTCGCACTCGAAGGATTCTGTGCTTAAGGTCACAGCCTTCTTTACAACTAACGTAAGGGGGCCATGCCTTAGATGTTTGATCACGTGCCACTTTTCAAATTTAAGCGGGATCTCGTTTAGTTTTGGAGGGTACCAGTGGCGCAACCAAGGGGGGTGCTTTGGGGCTAAAGCACCCCCCAAAATTCTAAAAAGAATAAGTGCATAGACATAGACAAGAAGTGGACAAATGAAATGAATTCGATTGTTCGTATCGCTTAAATATCCCCTGGAAATCGCCCAAAATCGCAAGGTTTTTCAAGTAAGTTCACAATAAAACCCCCCCCCCCCTCCCTCGTAATTCTAGCACCTCCCAAAGCAAATTTCTGATTGCACCACTGGAGGGTACCTATTCATTCTTAGAGAAATTGTAAGTAGTCATTCGGGTGGCCATTTTAAAACGTTGCCGGGTTGACTTTATTTCCGTGTTCTTGTAGTGTGAAGTTAGCATCGAACCTGGGGGCTAAGTACACTACAGTATCCTTGATACTTATACATGACTCTAACAACCGAGTGTCTCTATGATATTATGATTACTTTATATTATTTCTTGTCTGCGCCGTAAGCGGATGGTTACACCGCTTACGCCTAAAACCGGTCCTGATCTCTGCACAAAGATTCACCCTTTGTATCTGTGTGACTGTGCGGCATATAGCAGGTCAAGGCACAGGTTCTTTGGGGGCCTGAAGATGCGGAAATGCTCCCAAAAAGATTTTCGATTTTTTCTTAGCTATTGACATCTTAAGGGACAGAGACAAAAACTAGAAGATCCAATAGGCCTTAAGGCTGTGGTACAGGGCCCTGGTAGGAAACACGTGCGAGTGACTAAAATGGTATTACTTTTAAAGAAATTGGCAACATGTAACATTTACCACAACTAGTGGCATCACTGTTATGTCCAAGGCATCGACACATTTATTTCTATTTCGGTCGATACGTTATTGCAATAGAATAAAAACCCTGCCACATATTTATTGAAACAGCTTAAATACAACATTAATAAATATATCCCAATGCATAACAAACTGTTTAGAAAACTACCCTTATTATTCACAAGTAATTACAGTAGGTACCCTAAATATACAGGTGATTCATATAAATTGTCTTTTTAATGTCTCGACTTGACATCAATGCCCTTTGCACGCAGTAGAATTTCAGTAAGAAAAAAGACTCTTACATTATTAGAGATCGGTTTTAAATTATAGGTATAAGGTAGATAAAAACTAACACTATACTATACTGGCCCCTAGTACTGGCGATTGTTAATTACTTACTATACACATAAAAATAAAAAAAAGGGTGTGTTCATAATATCAAAGTTGTATAAAATTATCCTATACTATAATTGCACTTGGTAGGGAAACTGGCAAGTATTTCAAATTGTTAGTGTCCGACGAGAATGCAATAAACGGAGGGAAGCTTAAGTAAATTTTGCTACTCGCTTAAAAATTAGAGAAAAAAAGATTGGAAGACGTTATCCTTAAAGTTACGCTAAAACTATTATAAATGCTTTACTTGGCCTGTTTACTGGCGCCGTGTTCCATTTGTTTTTTACAGTGTAGGTACTTAATTAAAATATCACTAATCGGAATTGGATCCATTCCATAAAATATATTAAACGAGTTAATCTTATATACAAATTGGTCTATATTAGGAATTAATACTACTGATGAGTATGGGACCTCATTGTCACTTTCGCTGTAAAAGAAAGGGGTGTCCCATGTGAGTTAGAGGGAATGTTCCAAAGTTGGTTGTAAGCTCGGTGATGTGTTTCCTCAAAATTTCTTATAACCAACTTTGTGCATTATGGGTAACGGACGGTTAGGCGTGTACAATACTAGTGACGTTTCATGTGAAGGGATAGATGGTCCGAACGGCTGAAGGATCGCTGACAGAGGTGACATCTGAAGGGTTTCTGCCCGGTGTGCTTGCGGTAATGCCGGGTCAGCTCGTCGGAACGTGCAAACTTCCAGGTGCAGCCCTCCCACGAGCACTGGTACGGCTTCTCACCTGCGAATCATACTCGATTAATCGGCCCTTTTCGTCGAGCTCGGACGTACCGGTGTGTGTCCGTTTGTGCGCCTTGAGATGCGAGCTCTTCGTGTAGACCTTATGACAGCCGACGACGTCGCAACGGTGCACTTTTCGTCTGCGAATCGTCGTGTCCTCCAACTGCCTGTCCTCGTAGTTGTTGTTATTGTTGACGGTCTCGTGGGACGTGCACGTCTGCTTGTGGATTGAGCTGAAAAAGTCCGCGTTATTGCCAGCGGAAGCGGTTGGCGGTTACTCACATTGCCGAATCTTTTATTCGTTGTAGCGCTAGTAGGGTGGCCGTAGGTGCGAGAGTTGCCGTTGAATATTCTTGTTTTATCACATTTGCTTTAGGAATTTCTGGAAAAGACGGTAATTTATTAGTTACGGAACTACCGGGGTAAAAGTTTCGCGATTACAGTAATTAACCGCAGCCTTCGATTAGAACCGCGGACGGTAATCTCGGCTTGATTATCATAAAGGGAGGCGCATCTAAAAGTTGGTCCTTCGAGCGAATTACCTATGCGTTAGCCTCAATAAACCGATTCGGTTACACTACCTACAACTTTCTCGGCTAAAATATTATCTAAATTAAGTAATAATAGAAAATCCGCTTCGCTAATTAGTGTTTACAATCTCCGGAGAGCTTTCCTCTATACGGTTTTATTCATTTATGCCGAAAGGGAACGTCCAAGGTGAAGCGTAAAAGGATGGACAAAAGAAGCTGGTCGCCCTACACCTATAACTCGCATATTTAATGGCGAATTAATACGAATAAGTAATGCAAATTATACGCTAATCACCATATAATTTGTGCATATTAGCGTTTAGTAAAAATTCTTGAATATCGTTAGTGGAGCCGAAAGGTATTATGCCAGAACGGGGTGATTAGGAATTTTTCAGAACGCGTGCTTGCAAAACACGAATATTTTAACTTCTCTTCCGCATTGAAAGTATTGGGAAATGTGTCCAGTAGTTCTGGATTCGATCATCTGAAATACTTCCTATACGGCTATACAATTCGCATAGCTAAGTAAACAAACGAGGAAACATATGTAGTGTACTTAACCCCCAGGTTCTACGCTAACTTCACCGGCAACGTTTAAAAATGGCCACCCAAATGACTATTCCCTCAAAAACTAAACGAGATCCCGCTTAAATTTGAAAAGTGGCACGTTATCAAACATCTAAAGCAGGTCCCCCTTACGTTACTTGTAAACAACGCTATGACCTGAAGCACAGTAGGAAAGGAACGTAAAATAAAACACTCAACTTGTGAAGGGTTTGTTTAATAATTATGGTGATTATTATGATTGTGAAAGTGATTAGCGTAATCCCGCTCTCGCAAGATAGGTAACCCGCCCCTGGTTTCGGGGTTTCGAACCTACAGTTGAATGTCGAAGACAATCACGGAATTATGTGTCGTAACTCAATTTTGACTACAGTTTTTTTCCACCCCCGTAACTGTTTCATTCACGGAGAGATTTGTTAGTTACAAACAACAAATCAGTACATACATTAAACGAATCAGTAATTTCCACATATTAAAATAAAATGATCAAAACTTATATGAATGTTACTTCAGGGACAAGACCAAGTAATCAACATTAATAAACATAAATTAAGTAACCATTACACCAAAAACGTAAACAATTACAAACAATAGCATAACGGTATCACATATGTGATTATGCATTACGGTTACACCAAGTAAATTTCAAAAACAAAGATTCAAACACACAAAAAATATAAAATGTGGCATACAAAACACAAATACGATATAAAGAAATGCAAAAATTACTACCTGCGTTAAATAACACAAAAACAAGATGCTCAACGTAACCCCCGTTCGTGCTTTTTAGATGGCGCATGCAGCTTTTTCCCACCTAGAAATTGCATGGTTGCCAACTCTCAAAAATGTATGTATCGTCGTAAGTTGTATATACAGGGTGGAACCTCTCACATAGTTGATCCATGAGAACCCCTCTGATGTTCTTCATCTACATTTTTAACACACCGTTGTCCGTTATCTCCAGTATTGAAAAGCATTTTGTTTCACTGCCGACAACAAATTAGATATAATGAAACAACCCCTACTTTATAAAAATTGGTTGTGGCTAGCACAGATACCACCCGCACACCAGCGCATGCGTGATCCTGCCATTTTATGTGTAAGAATATGTGTTGGTCTACATCGGTCCACCCTGTTAGCTGGAAATCGGAGTACAGACAGACCGACAGACGGATCGACATCATCGAGATTTTCTTGGATTCTGCAGCAACAAACCCAGCAGTGGAAGACAGGAACAGGAAGGCAGTTCTAGGTGGGAAAAAGCTGTACGAACGTTGGTTACGTTTGGCATCTTGTCTTGAATGGCGGGTCTTTAACGCGTCGCTCCATAAATGTTTATTGTTGTTATTTTGTGTTTTTTTTTAATGCAGGTAGTAATTTTTGCATTTCTTTATATCGTATTTGTGTTTTGTATGCCGCATTTTATATTTTTTGTGTGTTTGAACCTTTGTTTTTGAAATTTACTTGGTTTAACCGCAATGTAGAATCACATATCTGATACCGTTATGCTATTGTTTGTAATTGTTTACGTTTTTGGTGTAATGCTTGCTTAATTTATGTTTATTGATGTTGATTACTTGGTCTTGTCCCTGAAGTAACATTCATATAAGTTTTGATCATTTTATTTTAATATTTTACCGATTTGTTTGATGTATGTACGGACTTGTTGTTTGTAACTACACTGTTACTACAACTGTAGTCAAAATTGAGTTACGACACCTAATTCCGTGATTGTCTTCGACATTCAACTGTAGGCTCGAAACCAGGGGCGGGTTACCCATCTTGCCCGAGCGGGATTACGCTAATCAAAGCTTCCAAGGCCTACCTAAAAGTGTAGGGTGCTTTTCCAAACAATCTTTCGCGCCATCGACAAATACTAGAAATACGTCAAATAAGATACAATTTAAGCATTTTTAGTAATTAATTAATTAATCTCATTTTCCCAATATTTGAGGTTAGGAATGAGATCTTGAAAAACGGTTTTCACTGGCTTCTTTGAATGTTATTTGCCAACTTTTTCATAAAGAAAAAGTGATATCATTCCATTTGATTTGTTTAGGATTTTAGATCATAATGTCAAAACTAGCCCCCTGGCGAAGAAGGATTCAACTAAATTAACTATACTTTGATTCTTATTGCCCAAGGAATTCTCTTTTCAAGGATACCAAATTTGTTACAATCGGTCAAACGGAAAATGATAGATAAACTGGTTCTCTTTAAGAATGTGAAAAAAGGATGTTTAGTTTATTATGCGAAATTTAAAGAAAATGCAATTTTAAAATTTAAGATGGCAGTTACGCTCTCTGGTGGTCATTTTTAGAACTTGAAAATATTTTCCAGCGATTCTTCATAACCGATTTACCCAATAATTTTTTTACCCCTCCTAAGTCATACGACGAACGGTTCCCGAGATATGGTCGAGGAACAGTCTTATTGGGTCACCCGGTACATTCAATTTAATATTTTACAAGTTGTGTTACCTCAATTGGTCGTACAGGTATTTTGACGTGTTTTTGTACTGAATTGATTTATCAGGTTTTCCACTGCATTTATGATGTCTTGTGTATTCTGTTTTTATGAACTTGTTTAATTGCATTTTATTTGATTATCTGATTTTTATCATACAATTTGAGATGTTTTATTTATATGTACTTTCTCTTGCATTTTATTGCTGTAAGTGATTTATTTCATGTATTTGTGTGGCCTATGCCGGGGTTTTTGTCCCGTAGAAGGTTTCCCTGGTATGGTCATGTTGTGTGCGTAATATATTTATTTGTTCTTGTCATTTCTGACGCACAAAAGTTCTGTCTTTTATTTAATTCCCTTCCCGATTATGTCTCACGTCCCAACACATACAAGAACCGATTACACAACGTAGGAGTTCATTCGTGCCACCCATATTGAGCCGACTGCCATCCGAATTCAAAAGTACCGCGGTTTCGACTTGAAAGGTAGGTGGCTCTGCTCGTAGTTTTTCCCAGAGTTGCCAACGGTAAGTATAGGGTAAGTCAATATTTCCAGTGTCGGCTTGATAGACCCCTAGGACCATTACACAGTTAGCTGAGTTCGGTTCACGGCTCAATACTGCAATGGAACTATCTCCATCGATTGGGATAGTGTGCATAAGGTCAACGAACTCGAAAGATCTCGGCTTCACTATTAGCGGTGACGGTGACATCCCTTAGACGTTCGAGGAAGTAGCGCCAAGTCACAAGCGTCTTATGCGATCGGCGAATGAACGTGCACCCTGCAATTGTACGGGAATAACGCCAGGAAAAAGACGAAGAACGAAATTACGTCTACAACACGTTGTTTACGCAACAATAAAGAAGAAAGTTGAAGCGTGCAGAAAGAACAAAATGAGAAGGGGAAGTAAAGAGGTTTACAAGATACTGAAGTTACATCAAGAGTGAAACAGGAAGCGTAAAGGAACGAGACGCGAAGGAGACATGAAGGGAAGGTCTGACCGAAAGGTGAGAAAGCTGACGAAGGCGCTTATAAAACATATGCAACAGTATATGTGAAAATAAGAGGGATGAAGAAAATCTACTTGAATGATGGAAGGAAACTTTAACGAGGGTTGAAGCGTGTAAAGATAGGATGCGTGAAAAATTCGACAGGTGATACACGTAGAGACTGGCGTTTCTTTAAATACTGAAGACAACAAGAAAACTAAACTGTTAGTTTCCCGACGGTTAAAACATCTTATCGCAAACGACCAGATGTAACCTTGTATAAAAATCGCAAATTTGACCAGATTTCTCTTACTTCTAGCACCTTATCTAAATTGAATAATTACAAAGCGATAATATTTAAACAAGAATTACGCATTTACAAAAAAATCTTAAAGAAAAAACAAACACTGAATACAAAGTCAAATGAAACAAACCAACTCTGTTCTTATTTTGTAAATAATCCCCAGATTTACTTCATAAACTGAAATAATTATCATATACAGGATGTCCCGTCAGTATTTTTGGTGTTGATTTGTTGAAAAAGAAATAGAAAAAGAGGGCCTGATGGCGACCTTGAACTTCTGGCACATTGTAGGGCCGCTCATGGCTTAAGTATCTCTTCTTTGCCGACCTGTGCAATCATCTCCTGAATTTCGTCCACCATAAGCGGTAAAGTTATAGTGTGTTTAAATACCAGCCATTGAGCCGTATCCACCGGTTTCCTTGTCGAAACATACAAACACCTCCGAATGCGAAGCAAAATTTTAATCCAACCAAAGGAATGGTATCACTGAAATTAGATGCAATTTTCCCATCAATGAAACAAAATAACC